TTCACTTAACCCTGTGATGGATACCTGCTTCGACATAGAAGAGGCAAACAATAAATGCCAAAATGAAGGATTTCACCGTGATCTGTTTCTTTGATAATAGAGACCATCATGAGTAAAAAATGCTGCCTCTGTGATACTTTATTGTAACCATTGAAAAGTCCTTGAAGCTGATGTCCAAGCAAGTTTTTGAAATGGGACACGACTTTGTATTTCAGCGTAACAGAATCAATCTTCATCATCTGTGGATCTTTTTGCATGCAGGATGTCATCTACGTCCACCGGAGGGGCAGAGTGGGTTGGCCCAGAATCGCTGTGAATGATGTAGGGTAGATGGCTTTGTCATCAAACTGCCGTTAATCAGAGCAGAGGGACAGTCAGTGAAGTTGTATATCTAATGGTTACAAATCTCTGGAGAGACATTAGTGGTTTATGGCCATAGGGGGCGAGTGATATTTGTCTGGGCTGATGGAGCGGGCCACTAAATCAGGAGCGAGTCCTGACTCACAGCACTGAGTGCATACTGGAAGGGCAATCAAAGCCCTTTCAACTAAATAATTAGACTCCGCTGGTCTCAGATGAGACACTTTAGCGAGGTACTTCACTTTATAGAAAGTCATTGGGAAATCCTGGGGTCACAAAGATCTTTTCAGAAGGAGAAAACTACTGTTAGTTTTTGGTTAATGCAAAAGATTCTCAGCGTGTCGCGTCTTTGTGTTTTTGTATTTGTCTGCGCTTGTGCCCAGGTGTGTTTATGTGTGTGTACCCTATCAGAGTTAGTGTCTGTGTCAGCAGAAAGACCTGCCCTGCTTAGAGGAAATGGCCTGGAAAGACAGTAATGATCTCTCACCGTTCACTTTTGTGATGGAGCTGATCTCTCTCCCTCTGTTCGCTCTGTTGTTCCGGCTATCATGCTTCATTTTTTCTTCCTAAAATTCTCTGTTCACCCTCGTTTTAACAGCCTAATTCTCTCTTACCTCTGAGCTTCGTTTCTCTGACTGTTTGTGCAGGAGGGCGAGGTGTGGTGGTGGGGCCCATTGTCAGTCAATCCCAGTCCGATGTGTTTTGCGACAACGAATATGGACCCAACTTCCTGTTCAGAAACAATGGAGATGGAACTTTTACTGATGTGGCGCAGCAGGCTGGTGAGAGGACCAAGTACAGTTTTACAAATCATAACCTTGAAGATCTGAATCTGATGCAAAAACAATACACAATGTAGGCTTTCTTGTATAATAGAGTATATTACCATATACCTGTAGGTGTGGAGGACCCCATGCAGCATGGCAGAGGGGTTGCTCTAGCAGACTTCAACCGTGACGGCAAGACAGACATCGTCTACGGGAACTGGAATGGACCTCATCGTCTGTACATACAGCTGAATAACCGCAAACAAAAGTTCAAGGTGGGTCCAAATATGTTTCCTGGGTATTGAACAACTCAACAAGTAATGCACAAAAATGCCAATAGTCACACAACAGCATCTTGGATGAATACTGGCTTTAAAGTCTCAGTATGCTTCAAACCAAAAGGGTGGTTTGACATTTCAAAAGTGTGTATACTGTACCTGCTCCAAATGTTCACGCTTGAAGGTAAAGTGAAAAGACAAAATGGATGGGAATTATTGGGAACATACTTTTGGTTGTACACACAAAAAAGTGACGGAAGTTGTTGTATGAATAGTGAAAAGGGGGGAGCTTCACAACTCTGCTCGCCTGGTCAATCGCTTTTGGAATGGGTTTCTAGTAGTTCCAAACTGTTCACAGGTATCTCTGTGGATAGTCCACAGTAACCAGCACTCATTGATAATCTATACAGTCTTTGTGTCAAATGATTCTCACATCAGAAAATCAGGCACAGCAAATTATGTAGGAGAGTTTTAGAGCGAGGTTGTGGTTCTCTCCTCTTCTTCTCTCTCCAGAATCAATGACTAATGAACAAGCTGCACAAAGACAGCAAATCTCATCCATTAACTCTGTGAATCAGAGTTATCTATGCTAACGGACGGCTAGTGAATTAGCACTCGCCAGCGCTGGTCCACTTTGGGACTGAGTGGGATTTAAAGACGGACGTGTGGCGATTTACTGAACCAACGACTAAAGGCAGCTCCTGTGAGACAGCTAGTAGTGTAGTGTAGTTGTGCAGTACAGTTTAGAGCATCACAGACAGACACGAGCTCTGCTGCGCATAAATCTGCGGAGGTTCCGTGCTTGGTGATCTATTTGTCAGCACCTGCAGCTGCATCTTTTACCAGAGAGATAAACGTCACAGGAGACATCTTTATAGGGGTCAAATAAGGGGTTAATGTGTGATGCTTAGCCCAGAGACAATTCCATCAGCGTGACACACACACACACACA